TCTCATCATAACAAAACCAAAACCATATCTAGAACATGAGATGTCACCCTTATCTTTCCAAGAGTCTCTTCTGTTTCAGTATTGCTTTTGTACTTAAAAAAAAAGAAAAAAAGAAAAAGACTGAATATAAAATTACATTTTAATTTTATGAAATGAAAATTTTAACATTTCTAAATGGCAACACTTTGCAGTCTTCTGAATCTTCAAATACTTACGTCTCTTGATATAAAATACTCATCATTGAACATATATATACCTATACAATAAATTATAGAAATGTTATTTATAATCTATAACTAGTAGTTAATGTTTATGCTACCTATATGCTACCTTCATTTATATTCAGATGATTCTTCCAGCTTTTCTGCCTGTGAATTAGAGAAGTTATTTATGCAATATCCAAGGATAGAAAAGATACAACCAGATTGTATCTCTAAAAACAGTTGCTTTGAGGAGTTTTGTGTACAAGATTTGTTTGTGATTTTATTTTTATTTTCACTATACTTTTTTGGTTTTTATTATAATTGTATTGCCATCATTTCAGAAAAGTTTATAAGCTGTGCCTTTTAACAGCTAATTTCTATTTTTTTTCTGCTACTCTAACATATTCTCCCTTTAACTATACTTTCATTGGTGTAGCCGCTCAAAAGATTTTCTAAAATTTCTAAAAAATCTTCAAATAAAGCTTAGAATTTTTTTTAAGAGAATAAAATTTAGACCCTTCATTCAGTGTAAACTATAAGGTATTTCATAGCTGGTTCCAGTTTGTCTGCTGTGTGCCATGGACTATGCAGTTCCTGGGCAAGGATGGGTATTGTTGAGGATGCTGTAGTGCGCTGCCCAGATCCCCCTGCAGGACTGAGCTTCTCATTCCCCCAGCTGCTGGGATCATTGGCAGCTGATGGTTCATAGCCACGTCCCTCTCTGGTAATTACCCTCAACTGAAGGGAATCTCTTCACCCAAGAGCACTCCTCTTTCTCGTGAGCAACCTGAACTCATTGACAGGTAGATACAGGGATGTAAAGCCCCTACCCCCTAGTTTCAAGGAAAAACAACTCTGCAGGGCCATTTCCAGCTCCAGATGAATCCATATGGAACCATCAGAAGCCTTTGTTGTAAATGCATTGTAGTGCATCTCCTCCCTCAACCCAGGAACTTTCTGCACTCTACCACCAGTGTTGATCTCAAAGACACTCTTCAATAACTTCCCATGTGCAAATCTCTGTTTGAGAATCTGTTTCTTAGGAAACTCAACCTATGACTGCGACTCCACTAGAGTGAGTGGTGGAGTGGGGAAAGGCAGAGAGGCCTGGGCACAATTTGATCATGGAGGTTGACATTATATTCACTATTGTAGGAGAAGCATCATACAATTTATGGGAGTGAAAGAAGTGACTTATTTTGCTTGGAGTATAGCAGAGGGAGAATTAGGAAAGGTTTTGCAGAAGAGGTAACTTTGAAGCTTAACTTTGAAGAATGAGTATGTATTCTCTAGGCAAAAAAAAAAGGATGCGGGGTAGTAGAAGAATGCAGCTTATTGAAGATGTGGCAGAAAGCTCGGTGACAGCTGGAAGATGGGGTCCATGGGAAAAGCAGTAGTGATGGTTGCAGAGCCAGCTCAGGAAGCACTGTACTGATTTTGAAGGTTCTTATGCTAGAGTGTGCTCTTCCCTCCTACTTCCCCATGTATCAAACATAGCACCCCTACTCCACTTACAAGATATGATTTGCATAGATAGATGTACTTATAGATGTCCTTCTTCCACATTTTTGCTGGAGACTTCTAATTTCTTTTTTTATTTCCTTGAAAAATATTGATTAATTCTTTCATTTTAACATACATTAGAAAAGCCTCATGTTTATGTGAAAACTGCATCTTTTCATCTGACTTTAAAATAACCTTCTATAAGTAGGCACAAAGATAATTTATGGTGCTTGAAATTCTCCCATTAGCAATTTATGGAATTCCAAGTGAGGAGACATAGCAAAGGTTATATAGTCCAGGTTTCCAACACATGAACCCTTCTTGCCAATCTCAGATGAGTGCTTACCCAGTAGTTTCTAGTATAAATCTAGTAATGGAAACATTGGCCTTTTCCTATTGTGATTAACACTGATATGTCACAGAGTAAAATTGTAGAATTGGAGTTTTTGTTTTACAGACAAGAAAACTGAGGTCTAGAAAGAAGAAATTATTTACCCAAGGTCACACACAGTGGATGTTGACAAAACCAGAAGGAGAATTTATGTTCTTTATCTAGCAACTTTTCCTCTCTGTGGCTACATAATGAATTGGTCGGATACTTCTCTGAATTATTAGGAGTCAGGAAACTGTGATACCAGTCCTTTCTCTGCCCTTAATGTACTCCCAAGTTCAACTGTGTCAGTGTTCCAGGTCTGTTTTCTCACCTGTGAAATCAGAGGCCTGAACTAGAGGAACTTACAGCTCCGTCCTTGACTCCTTGACTTTGTAAGAGTCTTTATCTTTTCTCGAAAAGATATGTATAAGGGTCCCAGTACACCAGCTGGAGACTAGAAAAAGAGTACAGTAAAGAGAGCTGGCTAGTCTGCTTTGTTTTCTGATTTAAGGGCATTTTATAATAGTCTCTCTTTACGTATATTTTAGTTTTTCCTTTATAACAGAAATGTTCTGATTACCTGCCCTTTAAACAGTGCTTCCATAGACCATCAAAAATTTCCTTAAAGACCAACTCAACCTTATATGTTGCTGATGGTTTTAAGCAAATGGGCTGAATCTTGCAGCCAAGCCTCAATGCAAACAAAAACATTTTTTGGTCAAGCATTTTCTGGTTTGTTCAACTCCATTACAGGGCTGCCTTTAAAAAAGAAAAAAAAAAAAATAGTAAAACCCACAGAGGAACAAAGCACAAGTCCTGGGAAGACAGTTTCCAGCCACATTAGCTCAGATCACCAGGGTAGAAAGCATCAGGGCCCTCATTGTCCAGACCATCATCATCTTCAGACTCTCTTCTTATGTTTTTTCTGCTATTTTAATCCCACCACTTCAAAATAGGGGGTGGAGGAATGGAAATAGGTTAATAGTTTCCATGAGTTTAGACTGTGACCAGAGGCATACTAAGCAATTTTGGAACTTTCGGCAACCGCAGCTTTGAGAGAATGGTGATGGATTTACCAATTCATCTTGGGATGGATTCCAGAGCCAGAGGAGTCAGGCCAGCAGTGTGCTGCCAGGGTGGGATGTACATAATATGCCTTTATTCATTCCTTTTGACACATACATCCTGGGCCTATTTTTATTCCAAGTGCTATACTGGGTGTTGTATGGGAGAGAGAAATACATTCTTAAGACATAGTCCTGGTCCTTAAGGAAATTATGGTCTAGTAGAGGAAAAAGACATACATGCAAATAATGTTAATACAGAGAATACCGTGAGTGCTGCAAGCAATGTAAATAATGTGCTCGGGAAGGGGAGAAAAGGAAGCAGTTTATTTCAAATGAGGACATCGAGGAAGGCTTCATGGCGGAGTTGCCTTCTGATCCATAACTTGAACAGTCAGAATGGGAAATTGTGATTCATTTCAGGCATTAGCCAATGCACAGGAGTATGGAAATTTCTTATAGGTTTGAAAAAGTGTGAGCAGTCTGAGACATGAGGGGAATCAGCCTAGAAAGAGAAGTGAAATATCAGGTATGGAACTAGATCTTTTTATATTGTGGAGCCATATAAGTTTTGCTAACAAGACAATTGGTCACATCTGTGGTTTGGAAAGGAAACTGGAAGTCACTTTGGGGATATGGAAGTATTACAGAAGAGAGAAGCAAATAAGGAAGCCCATCAGAGACCATTGCTGTAGCTGAGACATCAGCACGCTAGATATCTACCCACAGGCATTCTTGCCTAATGGCTATTTAAAGGTTCTCATGATAAGAGAGCAATTACTCCTTAATTTCCACATCCCTCTCAGTTCTACACCTTTCTAATCAGATCTCCATCCCAGGTTTAGTTTAGATTGCAAACTCAGTGAGTCAGTCCAGACATCTCAGTTGGAATATAGCATATTACATGTGAAACATGGTTATTTGGTAAGGCACCATGGGATTCTGGGGAAGAATGGAATGTTAACAGCTAATTTTATCAGTCTTTCTAAGTCCTGACTCCATAAATGGTATACCCTTTAAGGAGGGTATATATTTTTTAAAGCTCAGTATATTTTTAAAGGCAGATAAATTAACTTTCTTAATTCATTTCTCAAAACTGGAACCCCTTTAGGTTCAACATGTCCATTAAGAATTCACAACACTAAACTTGGAGATGGTGTTTGAATCAAGGCTTTCAATGATCAAAAGCCTCATTGGTTGTGCTGCATTCTGATTGGAATCTGCAGCGAGCATGCTCTGCAAGTCTCAGTCATCAACGGAACACTCTCTAAAATGTTAGGGGGCCTCGGTGACCCCACTAGGTCTTTAATGATGAAGCAAGTTTGAGAAATAGTATAGCATTCTTCCCATGGAGAACCAGGGTTGTATAGTTCAGGGGTCAAAAAATTACAGCCATGGGCCAAATCCAGCCCACCACCTGCTTTTCAAATAAAGTTTTACTAAAGCACAACCATGTCTATTTGGTTACATACTGTCTATGGCTGCATCTTACTACAAAGGCAAATTTGAGCTGTTACAAGAAAGCCAGAAATGTATACGCTGTGGGCCTTTACAGAAACGTTTGCCGTCACCCCTGCTGTAGTGGAAAGAAACAAGGACAGGAATAAGAAGGCGTGTTTTAAATCCTACATTTGCTACCTATTACCTGGGTGACCTTAGAAAAACCACTTGATCCATCCGATTGTGTTTTCTTTTCTCTATGATAAAGATGTACACTCCAACTTCCTCTGAGTACCGACTGTGAAAATCATATGAGCCAATGTGTTCTACAACATTGCTTGTCATGCTATAAGTTACTGCATAAATGGAGTGCCGCAGGCCCTGGCCTATCATTGTCATTTTTCTTTTCCTCTCCAGAATACCCTGGAGCAGTGCAGCGTTTGCTCTAAACCTATCATGGAGAGGATTCTCCGAGCCACCGGGAAGGCCTATCATCCTCACTGCTTTACCTGTGTGATGTGCCACCGCAGCCTGGATGGGATCCCTTTCACTGTGGATGCTGGCGGCCTCATCCACTGCATCGAGGACTTCCACAAGTAGGCAATCTACTCTTCCTCTTCCAGCCTTCCAGTCTCTTGAGTCTGTTCCCACTGCCTGGCATATGAGCAACATATTCTTCTCTCTCAGAGCTATAGAATCTCAGGATTGGGTGGAACTTTAAAAAGAGTTTATTTATTTCCTCATCTAATGCAGGAATTGGTATCAGGCAGTCCACATGGTCTTTCCATCCTGGCCTCCGCTCCGAAGCTTCCCTGGGGCTTGTTCATGGCATCTTTGTGTTTCTCTAATTGTGAGAAAGTTCACTCAGAAACAGAGTATGTGTATTGGAAAGAGGCAGGATCCTGGGCTAACCCTCCTTGGACTAAACATGAACAAGATGTGTGACATTGAACAAATTTCTCAATTCTCTGGGCTCTTCCTTTTGTAACAGCCCTGGGTTCTCTCTACACTCTGCCTGCCATTTACAGATAGGAGTTTATGAGATGGACACAGAAAACAATTCAGTCTTTACTAAGGCAAGCCTCTCACATACTCAGAGGCAGTTTAATGTCATTGTCAATATGTTCATACCCTCCTCTCACCTCTTCCCCATCCAAGACTTCTCTCCATCAGGATATTTTCTAATGAAATATGAATGAAGAATTGTGCAATCTTTTGAGGAGGATTAGAAGGTAGAGCCCCAAGGTCAAGACCGCTTACTCGTGGGCCTGGAAAAATATGTCCCCACTTCCCTAATTCTCACATTTGTAGGTCGCTCTTTCTTCTCTTACAGTTGGGGTTTTCGTGAAAATTGTATGGTTTCGCATTTTGCTTATTTTTATTCGGCCAGTTTGTTAGTTGGTTAATTGGTTGGTAACATTTGTTACATATTTTTAGGAACTGTATAAAAGCTGTAGATGTGATTTGTAGACACAGAGGCTTTCTAGTCCATATTTGCTAGGCAGTGGCTTTCCAAACAGTCTGAGGCTCTCAAAGAGATGAAGCTTCAATGGCTCACCAGTTTGGGTAACTGTTCTAGGGCTTCCAGATGTGCAGTCTTGTGGGTTAATTTTCATCGCTCTGTTGATTGTCAACAACCAGGAGGTACTTGCCACAAGCAGTTTGGGGACCTGAGACGCATAGTATAAAAATGAATTTCCTGACCACTTTCTGCGTAGCAAAGAAAGTGAAAATCTCACCAAAAGGCGTGAGGCTGGATGAATTTTTAAAAATCCAGAGGCGGAAATTCTCCACCTGAATTAGACAAAGAATGCTCACTTTGAAAGGGCAGTCACAGCATAAATTGTACTTCACATTATTGATATTTTTAGCTTGTAATTACACATGAAAAAAGAAAACCTGCATCTATTTAAGGGAAGTGAAAAGATACCATTGGGGAGTGTGTTTCTGTCACTGTTTCTTTCCTTTCTCAGACTTACCCTAATCCAAGAAGGAGTGATAGATATAATCAGAGCACACATGTTTTTGTTGCTGGAAAAAACTGGTATATTGTATCTTCAATTAAAACAGGAAATCAATTCTAACAAATATAAGTTTATATATATGCCATTTATCTTTCATTTCTAGGAGTGGGGAGCATTAGAGACTTGTGACTACTGACATAAGTATGTGGGTCAGAACGCTCCAGGAAAGCAGACTTGAGCAACTAAAAAGGAAAATAAGCTCAAGCCCCCACTTCTCCCCCGCACCACCACTGATTCAGTGGCATGGTAAACCACAAATAATTTTTTTCATGTTGTCTGCATGATTAACAAGTATTTAGGGAGTGAAGCTTTTTTATATTTTCTCCATTTTCCAAAGGAAAATATAAGAAAATTGTATAGAACTCTGTTTCTGAGCCTTGAATATACTAGAACACAAAGCAGCTAAAAGTCCAACCCAGGGCAGGCATTGCAAGGCTAAGGAGAAGGGTAGATAGGAGAATATAGCCTCCTTCTGCAGACAGTTTTTTGGGAGCTTTTTTCTTGGTTATTCTGAATAGGTCTCCCTTTGTGAGCTTTTAGGAAATCTATTTTAATTCAATTCAACCCCATCTACAAAGAGCCTTCTGTGTGCCCATTACCATGCTAAGTGCTAAAGGAGAGAGATACAAGAGAAATTGCACAGGCAGAAATTGTACAGATACACAGAGAGAAACTATTGTCAACCAGGAGTTTATCGGAAGGAGCGGACAGTAAGTGCAGAATATGGGTGGTATCAGGCAGGAAGGTCTCAATGCAATGAGATAGGCACAGGCAAAGGCTTGAGCCAGTCGGAAGAGATTACTTGGCCCTGGGCTCTGAGCAGGTTCCTGGAAGCAGAATTTCAAGAGTTTTCATTTTATATGAGAAACAAGGAGATTCCTGGCAGAAGGAACAACTCGGCAATAAACAAGAGCACGGAGCTAGGAAAGGCTTCTCTACATTCAAGGAACATTTGCTTGGCTGTAACTAGAGCAGCCTGGGAGTGGAAGTTACTGTGAGATACAGGAGGCCCATGAGAAGGGATTTATCTCGCCTGCCTACAATCCTGTCTTTTAAACCGGTGCTTCTCAAACTTTAATGTGCTTACAAGTCACTTGGGGATCTTGTTAAACTGCGGATTCTAATTGAGTAGATCTGGGGTGGGCCCTAACATTCATGCCCAGATGGTTTTGGATTGCACTCTGAGTAACAAGCTTCTGAAATACTATTTTTGAGGCCTCGTTAATAGGCCATCCACTACATAACCACCTTCAGTCAATGCTGGCTCAAGTCCTCCAGACTATTAGGTGGGAACTCTTTCC